TCTCTCTCTCTCCTCTCCTTTCTCTCTCTCTCCTCTCTCCCCCCTCTTCTCTCTCTGCCTCTCCCCCTCTCTCCTTGCTCTCTGTCTGTCTCTCTTTCCTTGCTCTCTTTCTCTCTCTCTCTCTCTCTCTCTCTCTCTCTCTCTCCTTTCTCTCTCTTTCAACTTCTTGTTGTTGGTTGTTGTTGTGTGCCCGTTGAGTCGCAGCTGACCTGTACCTGACCCGCCCAGCAGATTTCCAGAGGCAGTAAATTGCATGGGAGGAGATTGCCCCTCCTCCTGGGGCTTTGAAATCCGGCCCCTGCTGGCCTCTACGCTGTTCCCCTTGGCATTCTCCCTCCCGCCTGGCGGCTTCACTGAACTCCCCGAGGTCTGTGCTTGGAGTGGAAGGTCTGTGTCCCTAAGTCGTGCAGGGGAGAAGGTCGTCTATTAAATGACTGCAGTTGTAGCGGTTGCCCACGCCCTCCACCCCGGGATCGTGAGGCGCCTCTGACGGCCTCCGTTGGGCAGTGCTGTCCCTGCTGCCTCCCTCCACCTGGGTTTCCCCCTTCTCTCCTCGCTGTGTGTCTGTCTTTGCGCTGTCCACGTTAGCTCTTGTGTGACCTGAGATCTCAAGCTTCAAAGCCCTGGGCTTGGACCCCAACGCTGCAGCCCCAGCTCCCCACAGTCAGAGCCTGTGGTCGAGAAGGGCTGGCTGGCTGGGAGAGAGAGCCCCTGCCGGTGTCAGCAGTCATGGTGGGTGGAGGACAGAGCGCATACAGCCTGGGCGAGGCCTCCTCCCTGTCTTCTCTCAGCCCTTAACCTTTGGGAAAGCTTCCAGAAAAGACATTGATAACAATGTGTTGGGAGATTTCCTTACCTACCCTGAGGCCAGATTGCTCCCTCCATTCCTGCTGGGTGATGGTATGTACCCGGTGGAAGGTTGGACTAGGGGAGCAGAGGCCCCCAAACTTTCCCAAACACTGACCCACATGGAAAAGGCTGTATGTGTGGTCTGCGTCCCAGCCGGTCCCTCTTCAGAGGCAGCCCAGTGCCTCCCACACAACTGCACTCACAGGCCCGCTCTGGCCTCTGGCCTTGAGACAGTGCCCCCTGCAGAGGCTGGTCAGGGAGAACACCCCTTGCCATTTCCTCAGAGCCCCACGACCCCCTTGCTGCTGGCCACTCCCCCCTTCAGCTCTAAGCTCCTGCACCCAGTGAACGGAGGGGACTGCCCTGTGAGCAGGCAGGACTACCTGGAAAGTTATTTGAATGCACGCTTGTGTACGTGTGTGCATGTGTGTGAGCGTGTGCACGTCTGCAAGCTGTTTCTGACCTGTTTCAGCATCTGTTCCTTGAGACAGGCTGGAGCCTTGAGGACTGGGCAGGGGAGAAGGGACCCTGGGGGCTTTCAGGAAGGCCCTCCACCCAGGGGTAGAGCCCATGACAGTCACAGCAGTTATTCAGAGCAGACACTTTCCAAGACCAGGCAGCCCAGGGTGAGGCCAGAGGAATGGAGGGATGGGGACACTAGGGTTTCTGCTGGAGGGGCTCCCTCGAGTGACTCCTGGGTGTCTTGGGTACCACACCCTTGTGTCATCTGTCCATCTGCTGCTCATCTGGGCTTCGTTTAGAACTGGCTAGAAAAAAACAGCAACTTTGATGGCTCAAGTTGGCCATAAACTGAAAGGTTGGAGGTTCTAACCCACTAGCATCTCCAAGAGGGGGCCGTCTGCTTCCGTGAAGATTCACATCCTCCGAAGCCCTGGGAGCCCATCCTGCCCTGCGCTGCAGGGGCGCTGTGAGCCGAAACAGACTCAAGGCAAAGAGTTGGGTTGGAAGTCGGAAGTAACATAGAAACACTCTGGACCGCTGACCCTGTTCAAGCCCAGGCACTGTCCCTAAGGAGCTAGTGACCAGGGGCGAGACCTCTCTGGGCCTCACTTTACTCAGTGATCATACGAGTGATTAATGTGACTCTTGCTGACATTCTGCCTGCGCAGCCCTGTGCCCCTGAGGGTCCTGTTTGTTGAGGGATGTGTGTGTTTGTATATAGGCCATGGTCTTCGCAATCGCTTGTTATGCATCAGAGAGTTGGACAATGACTAGGGAGGATAGAAGGAGAATTGACGCCTTTGAGCTGTGGTCCTGGAGAAGGGTACTGAATGTACCATGGACTGCCAAGAAAACAAACAGATTCATCCTGGAGAGGATCAAACCAAGCTACTCCTTGGAAGCAAGGATTCTGGGGCTTCGTCTGACATACTTTGGACATGTTGCAAGGAGGGACAGGTCCTTGGAGAGGGACATCATGCTTGGTAGGGTGGAGGGACAGCGCAGGAGGGGAAGACCCTCTATGAGATGGATTGATTCAGTGACTGGGGTAATCGGGATGAGTGTATCGGAGACAGTGTGATTGGCACAGGATAGAGCAGGGTTTAGGGCTGTTGTACATGGGGTCGTTATGAGTCGCAAATGGCTCAATGGCACATAACAACAACAACAACATGTGTTTGTGCTGTCTGGGTGTGGATTATGTGTATGTCCTATGTGTTTGTTGGGGATGTCTGTGTTAGGGTGTGTGTGTGTGTGTGCGCTGAGGGTGTGTGTGTACTGAGGATGTGTGTTTTGGGGTGTTGAGTATACGTGTATTGGGGTGTTGAGGGAGTGTGTTGGATGTATGTGGGGCATGTGTGTGTGTGTTGGTGTTGGGGTAGTGTAGGTGTGTGTTGAGTGTAAGAGTGTGTTGGTGTATATGTGTGTGTTGTATGTGTGTATGTTTTGTATGTGTATTGGAGGGTGTATGTTGAGCATATGCACAGAACCTCTTTCGCATTGGCTTCAGAAGCCTCTCTAGACTGAGGCGTGTCTTGGGGATAGGACGTGGGGAGTTCTAGGACCCTCAAAGTTTAGATTGAACTGGAGTTCAGAAGTGAGGAAACAGGGAAATCATACCCACCCAGAGCCCGGGCCGGGCCAGCGCAGGGCTTGGTTCTGCTGGGGGGCGCTGCAATCTGGCCGGTAGTAGGCAGACTGAGTCCCACCCAGGGTGAGGGGAACCCATGTCCGGATCAGCGGCAGGGGCTTCCTGGCTTCCTCTGTCCCTGCACCTGTCTAGCCTCAGTTTCCCCGTAACCCTGCTGGTTCTGAATTCTAGGATAAGGACTTCAGAGGAGAGCTGGTGTGACCTTTGTCCAGAGAGCAGGACACAGAGAGACTGGGATCATTTCCTCACTTGTCACTCTGTTGTTATCATTGACCTTGACTCACAGTGACCCCACACGACCAGGCGAGCTTCCGCATAGGGTCTGCTGGCTGTCGTCTTTATGAACATGTATTGCCGGATCTTTCTTCCATGAAACAGGCAGAGGAATGCCAATCCTTTCCATTCCCAGCCAAGCGTTTAATCCTTGCACCACCAGGGTTGTTCTCTATGACCCTGAGCCTCCGTTTTCTCACCTTTTATTTAGTGGGAATCTGCATCCTACTTGCTGGGCCAGGTGTGATGATGAGTGAGGCTGAAGGGACTGGTCGCCTTCTGTCTGGTGCAGAGCATCTGCCCCATGTGATAGCTCTTGTTAATTGCTTCGTGGGGTGAGGAAGGTCCCTCAGGAGGAGACACCCCCCCAATGCCTGCCTCCCCCTCCCCCAGCTGCATCTCATCTGCTGCTCCCCTCACAGGGCCAGTGGACGTGGACGAGTGCTCGGAGGGCACGGATGACTGCCACATCGATGCCATCTGCCAGAATACGCCCAAGTCCTACAAGTGTCTTTGCAAACCTGGTTACAAGGGGGAAGGCAGGCAATGTGAAGGTGAGTCCCCGGCCGCTCGCCTACAGTGGCCACAGTCACGTCACACCCAGTGAGTGTCCACAGGGGCCAGGCCAGGAGGGCCAGCTGTACCTCTGCCCTCAGCCCTGAGAGGCGGTTGTGGCTTTTCAGAAAAGGCCACTTCCCAAACAGCGGGATATGGGGGTGGTGCCCTGCCACTGGGTGTCAAACGTCTAGGATTTTCAAATCAGCCAGGATGAAGCATTGAAGGATCTATTTTTGTGTTTAATGGTGCTGTGGATTAATCACTGATCTGCTAACCACGAGAGCACCAGTTTGAATCCCCCAGTTACTCTAAGATGAGGGAACCAGCTTCAGTAAAGATCTGCAGCTTTGGAAACTCTCTGGAACATTTCTCTCCATGTCCTCTGGCCTAAGTGGTGGGTCCCTGACTGGATGAGCAGGTCTGACATGATGCCCAGGAGGCCCCAAATTTCAAAAATGAAGCCATCCTGTGTAGCCCATAGGCACGCGCAGGCCTAGTCGGTGACTCATTTGTGAGGCTGGTCTGGACCTCCTATCTTGAGTGCTGGAGACTGGCCCAAGGATCTGCTCCTTCTTCTGTGCACCCAGCTTTCTCTCCCTGCACTGGGGTGCGGGGCTGGGGCTTATCTGACTGTTCAGCATCTGAACCTGCCTCCCTGGGGGCTGAAATCAGAGACCGGAGGCCTGCCTTGGCCCCAGGCCGGCAGTCTCTCCAGGAGCTTTCATCCAAGCATCCATCCCCAAGACAGTGGGTGCCGTGGACGAGGGCCAGCAGTCTAGATCATCCCTGTAGGTCCTTGTGTTATAGAAGAGGCCGCAGAGAGCAGCGTCCACTCAAGGATCCCTGAATGTTACAGCAGCGAAGTGGAGACCCCATTCCAAGTCTCCCACCACAGCTGGCTGCGTGTTCCTCCCCCCGAGCCCTGGTAGCTGGGCTCTGAGTGTGAGCTTTGAGTTGGGAAGATGGCCATGTAGTTGGTGAGTCTGAGGTGTGCTGCTGGGCGCTGTCCAGTTGATTCTGACTCATCGAGACCCCAAGTGACAGAGAACAACTGTACCACAGGGTTCCCTAGGCTGTCATCCCTGTGGGAGCAGATCACTGGGTCGTTTTCCCAAGGAGCCACTGGGTGGATTTAAACCACAGACCTTTAGGTTAACAGCTGAGCTGTTGCTATGAGGCCTCCGTGTTCTGGGCTGTATGGGAGCAAAGTCACGTAGCTGCCTCACCTTGGGGTGTGACGTCTGTTTAGCCATCTCAGCCACTGTGCAAGCATCTACTCTGAGCACTGGGCAGAGAGTGTCATCCTGGCTCCTGCCAGGCTTGGCCACGTCCCTGGCCTTGAGTGGGGTCCAGAGCAGGGAGCTGGCACCTACCCACAGCCCTCTGGAAAGAAGGCAGGCTGCAGGCAGGTAAGGCAGCTCATGGGAAGGAGTAGTGGGTAGGGAGGGGCCAAGGGACTGGAGGTGGGCTCGGTGATTCCAAGAAGCACTTGTGAGGATGAGTGTGGTTATTCTGGACGCTGAGCCCTGGTCAGCAGCACAGAGGGACAGCTAGAAGTGAGGGCCGGGAGCCCCCTAGAAACAGGTCTCAGGCCCCAAATTGCAAAGCTCAGGCAGCAGCTGACATGAGCAATCTGCCCAGACCACTGGGCTGTCACATGCAGATTCCAGGCCTCTGGACTTCAGGACATCGGGGGAGAGGTGGTCAGAGGGTCTGGCTTCTAATAGTATGTGTCCCCAGAGAACAGCTCCTAGAAGAGGAGGTGGCCCTTTCCCTGGGAGACGCTCCCCATCTGTGTGCACTTCTCGGAGACCTACACAGACGAGCCACCAAGAGAGTAGATTTCCACCACAGGCTCCGAGACTCTAGGACAGCATTCAGCAGTGACCAACACTTGGGGACAGAGCTGGGGACTTTGGGAGCAGGAGTTCCAAGTTTGGGTCCCATCCATAGAACCCCAAATGTTCCAGGATTCAAGGCCGGTGGTCACTCTCCTTAGAACCTCGGGATCCCCTCTCCGCACAGCTGTAAGAGGGAGGGAGTGGATCTAGCCACCCTGCTGGTACTACATGGCCACCTCAGAATGGGTGTCCCCATGCCCAGGCCTCTCAGCTTGAGGGTGTCTCTAGGAATCTCCAGGAGGGAGTGTCCTGGATGACTGGACTTTGTCCCATTGTCTGTGTGCTGGGTTTTAGCCTTGTTCCAGGATGCTGGATAGGCCAGTCCTCACTTCCTATGCAGCTGACTTTCCCCTGCTGCTGGGCCTTCCCTACCTGCATCTCGCCCTTGAAGCCACTGGCCTGCCTCCTTTCAGCACCCCGTTTTAGCACTGTTTTAGCTCCCCTCTCTGCCTGTAACCCAGGCTGCAGCTCAGACTCCTGGTCCCAAGTCCAGTTCTACTGCCCCAGGTTTGATCGGCCTCCACTCATTATGTTAGTGAGAGAATCATTTTGGTCTGAAGAGTCTAAGGATAAGAGGATAAAATTCTGCCTGGAGCCCCTTCCTCTCCCTTTATGACCTGGCTAGTTCCTAATCATGCATTAGATTTGCCTCCTCCAGGAAGTCAGCCTTGATACATGCAACACACACATTATGTAAATACCTACTTTTCTACAAGGCACTCCTGGGTTTCCCTCCATTGTAGCACTCCTGAACATGGATTACAATTAACCATCTTTCTCCCCTCCTGAAGTAGGAGCCCATCACCACCACCTTCACCTCACCACCACCAACACCATCCCTCCATCACTGCCTCCACCACCAAATACTATCACCATCATCTCCACCACCACATCTACCACCTCCACCACCATCCCTCCTTCAACTCCACCACTGCCATCATCTCCATCACCACCATCACTGCCTCCACCACCTTCACAACCACCACCAACATCACCTCCATCATCACCACTACCACCATCACCACCTCCTTCACCATCACAACCACCACCACCATCATCTGCATCACCAACTCCACCACCATCATCTTCACCACCAATTCCACCACCACCACCATCAGAAGCCCTCCATCACCTCCACCACCATCATCACTATCACCATCATCATTATCACCACCACCATCACCTCCACCTCTGCCTACAACACCACTATCACCTCCACCACCATCACTACCACCACAACCATCACCATCACCACCATCTCACCTCCACCACCACCACCAACATCATTACCATCACCATCACCACCATCTCTACCCTCCATTACCACCTCCACCACCATCACTACTAACATCACCATCTCCACAACCACCGCCACCACCTTCAGCACTACCACCATCACCATTTCTCCATCCAATCCACCACTGTCACTACCACTACCACCATCTCTTCCTCCACTGCCTCCTCCACCATCACCACCACCACCACCACCACCATCTCTATCCCTCCATCACCTCCACCACTACCATCATCACCAT